GGCTAGGGGTCAAAAGGGTCAAGTTGAAATAGTGGCCGGCCACCACTTTTTAGGGTCCTCCCATGTGTGTACAACACAACCCTATGGTTCAAAATTCAAGAAAAAGGGCCCAGGTTGTTCAACATTAGCTCAGAAGGAGGGGTTCAAAAGGGTCAGGTGGAATTACTGGCCGGCCACCAACTTTTAGGATCCTCCCAAGTGTGTACATCACAAATATGTGGTTGAAAGTTCAAGAAAGTGGCCCCAAGGTGTTCAACATTAGCCCGGAAGTGAGAAAAACGGGCGTCGGAGGGCGCCGGAGGATATATAATTGGTTGCTACAAAAATTACTGGCCTCCCACCCTTCAGTGACCTTCCCGGTGATGAAACAGAGGTACCTGCCAAAAATGAACAAGAACCGATGCAAAACGAATGCTCGGGGACCGAAACACGCAGTTCGGGATCCCGAAAATGAGCCGTTAAGCACCGAAAGTGGCGTTCGGCCACGAAGTGGGTTTCTCGGACCTCAGTGTCCCTCAAAAGGGAGAAAATAAGAAGTATGCCAAAAATCAGAGCAAACGGAGATGGTTAGGCGGTCCCGAACCAAGGCACACGGCCAACGGTCCCGAAAAATCGGAAACCGGGCTCCGAAATAGGCAAAATGGCCTATAGCCACAGAATGTAGCCCACGGCTACTGAGAGACGGTCTACGGGACCTCTCCCTCCCCTCAGGAAAAGAAACAGAGAAAACCGAGCCTGGTTCGCAAACCGAGGTAAGGCACAAAAGAGGGTTCGAAAATCCGAAGGTAGGGCTCATGGCCGCGACTCTGAAACTTCTGAACGAGCACATTATGCAATATCACTAAGCGCTCAACTAGTGACGTCTAAGTCTTAAGGTCGGTCAAAAATGGGGTGTCTACACCGATAAACTTGGGAAAAAGAACTGGTTGGTCACAATCCACGCTCGAGCTGCAACTCCCACGCTCGAGTGGATCAACAACATGCAAAGGGTTCGCTCGAGCGTCAAAGTGGTCTCTCGAGCGGAGAGCTCATGTCTGAAAAAAAAATACTGAGAGCTCGCATTCTTCGCTCGAGCGCAGGTTTCCTCGCTCGAGCGGACTGTAAAATCCTGGGTTTTTCCAAAAACAGAGTTTGAGCTTCAAAATGCTATTTCAATGGCAAATTCGTACGTGGCTTGTTCAAACACTTGGAAAGCTTCCTAAAACACAAATACATGATCATTTTCAATGTTTAGCTCAAAACGCATGGATTTAGCAAATTTGAACTCACAAGCTCATGCATGAAAGATTTTCAAATCATTTTTTTGCTTTCTTCAAAACATGCAAATGGTGACCAACAACCCTATGAATTCTGAAACCATGGGCATGATTAAAGTTCACATACATGCAAGGACTTTTAAGACTCAAACCCAAAATGATCAAATCAAAGATGATTCTACCATGGATACTCATGAAAGCTATTTATGTGCTCAAAGACCCATTTTCATGCACTCTCAAGGATGTAGCTCAAGACTTAGGAAATCGTGATGCATGGAGGATTAGCTACAAAATTCAAACATAGAATCCTTACCTAGAGCTTGTTCCCAAAACATGAGAGGTGAATCTTCATATTTCTCTTCTAATCTTCAAACTTTTGAACTTTCTCACTCTAAAGCCAAATCCTCTCTCTCTCTAGCTGAATTCTCTCAATAAGGAAATGCAGAAAAGAATGCTACAAACACTCTCACTCTTAGCTAAAAACCACAACACACACTCTCACACTTTGAATACACTACACGTGCATACACATGCATCAACCCAACACATCCTCAAGAGTTGCAATTCCCTACATTCAATATCACCAAATGCCCGACTCAAACTTCTCAATACCCCCACACAGATCCTCTGTACACACTCACTTAAGGGTTTCAATCCTCTACACTTCGCTTCACAAAATGCCTCCACACACTAACCACTTAATCACATCTAGGATCACGAATAGGAGTAGATTAAGGATAAATCATACATCATCGTAGTTAGACACAAGTAACCTTAATCAGTCAAGGTTAGCCCACAATTCAATTAATCAAAATTAGTTCCAAGTAATCCAATCAGTCAATCCATGAACTCAAGTTCGAGTTCGGTTTCTAAAAGTATTTAGGCTAAAAACTTCAGATTCTAAGTAGAAACCATAACAGATAATTCTATGAATAACAGATAGAAAGCCAAATCATGAAGAATTACATAACAAACTCATAATCTATTCTCGCTTAGTTAGTATCCTTAATTATTGATTAGTAGCTAATTACGGATCGGGGTTATTACATCGATAGCAGTCCTCAACAAGAAAAATGGAATTTGAGTTTTAATCCCTACCTTCACACATTTTTGGCCAAACTATTTTAGACCTTAAAACCCTCTTTTCAAAATATTTTTCCAAATATTTCTACGATGTTCCGAGGCTCCTATTTTAATTAAAATATTACACTTTTCAGTAAATCGAGTAAGGACAAAATGGAAATAAATGGAAGGGAGGTGAACCCTTTGAAAACAATATTTTTTTTAAAAACAAAAAAAAAAAACATCTTCTTTATAGGTTTGGATAGGTTTGGATTTGAAGGAAACAAGAGGGGCTGGAAGAAAATTGGTTTAAGGAAATGATGAGCATCAAATTGTTAAGAAGGAAATGAACAGCCTTTACTAAATTAGGCATATCTCTTTGTACACTTGACATTTATATGTGACGCTACCACCATTGGAAAGTAGACTTCTGGGACTTCAATTTAGACCCAAGAATCACCTAAAACCAAGTCCAGATAAGGGAGATATGCCCATTTGAAGTTGGGCTTGAGAGCAGATTTTGTTGAGCTGGCTCGAGAGAAATGAACATCCTTCACTAAATTAGGCATATCTCTTTGTACACTTAAAATTTAGATGTAAGACCACCTCCGTTGGAAAGTAGACTTATGGGGCTTCAATTTAGACCCAAGAATCGCCCTAAACCAAGTCCATATAAGGGAGATATGCCCATTTGAAGTTGGGCTTAGTAGCAGATTTTGTTGACTCGGCCCAAAATAGCAGCAGCTCCATTTTTCTTGGTTTTGGTTCGGTTGAGACACCCCATTTACCTATTTTCTAATCCATTCAAGTGCACCCACTCATCCTTCATTATCTCTACTCATCCTCCATTATACCTAATCATCCCACATTGTCAAAAAGAGGTTTTGTTGGCATCCATAAAGGAGTATCCCATGCAACCACCTTAAAAATTTGCCCTCCTATCACATTCTTGTCTCCCACCTTCTTTTTGACCTTTTACACTCCCTCATTGCCTATATAGAATGATCATATTGTAAGAAAGAGGGAGGACCACGAAATTGAAGAGAAAAGGGTGAGAAAAATGGTGAAAAAAGAGAGAAAAATTGAGTTTTTGAGCCAAAACACTTCTAAGCTCCCATAGCTACTGAAATTCCTCATTTTTTTTTTATTAATGAAATTTAATAATTAGTTGTTGGATTAGCAAATTAGGGGAGTTTAACTTATACCCGCTTCTTGCAACCACTAAAGTTTTGTCTCTCATTCCATTCTTAAGAGTGGAATGTAAGACTCCCTTTAAGAGAGACTTGGTGGCCAAACGGTTAGCTATACAGGCTAGAATCCCTTGGTTCAATTAATTTAGTGTTATGTGGGTCATATCTTAAATAAATATAATCCATACATTTTGTTTTGAGTTAATTACACCAAGACCCCCTACACTAATAGCAAATATCACTTTGATACCTTAATCTATGAGCCCGTGCATTTTGAGTCCCTTAACTATAAAAATGTATTACATTCACCCCTTCCAGATCACTTCAAAATGGTTAATGATACAATTTTCATAGTTAAAAGGTCAATATATATATGTTCATAGATTAAGAAATGAAACAAATATTTGTTAATAATTGAGTAGGTCTTTGTGGAATTAATCATTTTGGTGAAAAGTCTATGTTGAAGAAGGTGTAAAACATTGGATCCCATGAGTATTTTTCTTTGGTGAGAAGTACATTCTTTGTGAAATATTATGGTAAGAAGTACATTCTTTGTGAAATATTATGGTGAGAAGTACATTTTATTATTTTGGAAGATATTTTCTTTTCAATTTTAATCATTAATCTATCTATTGAATTCTTTTTTTTATCTATTTAGTTTTTTTGACTATCTGTTGAAAAAAAAATTATCTATTTAATTTTTGAGTGATTCTATTTACACACCATCAATGCTCTCAGTACACACTATAAGTTGTTTCGGTCTTTCCATATAAACCACCCAATCCACACAACAAAGCTAATAAGATTTTCCAACTCTTTAAGTAATTGAAATTGCTCTAATAGGTCACAAGACCAATGTAAAACCGAGCGACTAGGTCCTCTAACAACTGGGAACTTAAGATCACATCCAAACCAAACTGCACGAACCCATTCACACCCACAAAGAAGATGTTCAATAGTTTTAGGAAACTCTTGACAGACCGGGCAAAGATTCGAAGCAGCACATCGCCTCCTATACAGATTAACTTTTGTAGTGAGCCCATTGTTACATACCCGCCATAAAAATTATAAAAATAAAAAATAAAAAAAAAATGATTTTGGGAGAAACCTTTAAAGCCCACAGCAACTTTAAAATTTTTTTAGGAGGCTGAAAAGAGGTAAAAAGATTGAAGGAATGACACTTGCTCACCTTGGTCAAAGTAGTAGAATATCCCGATCTCGCCGAATAATCTCCTTTGGACTTAAAGTGCCAAACAAGGGAGTCAGCTGTGTTCTCCATAGCTATTGGGATTAATCTAATAGCATTAACTTTGACTTCAGACACCAGATTTTCCAAAGACTCAATCCTCCAGCTCCTCGATTGGGCATCAATAACATCCTATACATGTTGAATCCCAGACCCCGCAGGTACCGGTGAGTGTACTTTGAACCCAAGAATGGATGGAATCCACTTATCATCCCAGAAATTAGTTGCAGCCCCATCATCTGCTCGTCAACGAACACCTTCTTGAAGCAATTGATGGCCTTGAATAATGCTGGCCCAAGCCCAAGAGCCTCTCCTCCCTTTGGCAGCTTGCATGAAAGAAGTGTTGAGGAAATAAATTACTTTCAACAGGCGAGCACAAAAGGAATTTGGATACTTCAATAATCGCCATTCTTGACGAGCTAAAAGTGCCAGATTGAAAGAATTAAAGTCTCTAAAACCCATACCTCCTCGATGTTTCAACAAAGTCATATGACCCCAATTTAACCAATTAATCCCCTTCCCCACTGGATCACCCCTCCACCAAAAAATTCCAATGTAGGAATTTAGCTTAGCACTGAATTTTTTAGGAAAAGCAAAGCATGCCATTGCATAAGATGGGATGGCCTGAACCACTGCCATAATCAAGATCTCCTTCCCAACTTGTGACAGCAAATTCTGTTTCCATCCTTGCAATTTGGAGAGGATCCGCCCAATAATAAACTCATAGGCTTCAGCTTTTGATCTTCCCCAAAAAGATGGTAAACCAAAGTACTTCGAATTGGGATAAGACACACTGAGGCCGGCCGCAGCACTAATAGAGGAGCTAACAATGGAAGGAGTGTTAGCTGAAAATTAGACACTGGATTTCTCAAAATTTACCAACTGACCAGAGGCTTCACAATAGATCTTTACAATAACTAGCACATGTCTGCATTCATCCACATCAGCTTTTAGAAAAAGGAGCACGTCATCCGCAAAAAGAAGATGAGGCAAGGTAGGGCATTGCCTAGCTATTTTCAAACCTGAAAACAAGTTATTGCGAAGACTCCGATTTAAAAGTTGAGAGAGCACATCTGCAACCAAAATAAATAGGTACGGGGATAATGGGTAACCTTGACGTAGCCCACAAGTCAGAACTACAGATGCCATCTTTTCTCCATTTGCAAAAATCGAGAAAGTGACAGTAGTCATGCATTCCATAACCTATCAGATCCAAACAGTATGAAAACCCATCTTCCACAAAAGTGCTGATAGGAAATCCCATTCAACATGGTCTTAGGCTTTGTTGAAATTAAATTTAATGGCCATGTGCCCAAATGACCCTTTCTTCTTTAGCTTCAAAAAATGGAAAGCCTCATGGACTACAAAATCAAGCACCCAGGAACAAAAGCAGATTGATTTGGAGAGATAAGACCCTTCAGAGTTTTTTTCAGTCTATTGGCCGGGATTTTTGTAATGATCTTCAAGTTAAAGTTACAAAGACTAATAGGACGGAACTAAAACAACTTTATCGGGTTTGCAACTTTAGGATGTAGGACTAAATTGGTCTGATTTAGTTCTTTGAGCAAATGATCTCCCAAAAAGATGCTTTTCATTGCTTTGCACACTTGATCTCTCACCGCTTCGCAATAGGTCTGATAGAAAAAACCTGGAAAACCATCCAGCCCAGGCGATTTGAAGGCTTCTAGCTGAAAAACAGGCCCCTTAATTTCTTCATCACAAACTGGGGCGGTCAATTGGCAATTCATTTCATCTAAAATTAACGGCTCAACCATCGATAAGGCCTCTCCAAAATCTCTCTAGCCAACACTAGTGAATAGATTGGTGAAAAATCCGTGCATGTAATGATTAATCTCATTGTCCATAGTAAGCCAAGTCCTATCCTCTATTTGAAGTTGAAGAATTTGATTCCTCTGCCTTCACTGAATCATAGATGCATGAAAGAAGCTAGTGTTCTTATCCCTAAAATTAAGCCATCGCATACGAGATCTTTGGTGATAGAACATTTCCTCCCTCACAAGAATTAGTTCAAAGATCAGCTTTTACATGCAACTGATTCCCCAAATTGTCATCCGAAAATGGTTGTGCTTGAAGAGTTGCCAATTTCAACTTAAAGCGAGAAATTTGGATTTGATTATTGCCGAAGTGTTCTTTACTCCAGGCTTTAAGACTTGACTTGCACAGTTTAAGCTTCTGGGGCATTTGGTACATAAGGGACCCCATTTGAGGTTCAACCCACTTGGTACGAATCACCTCTTCACATAAGGGGCGAGTGAACCACATTGTCTCAAACTTGAAATTCCTGGGTACCTTTTTAAGCAACACAACAATTTAGCACTACAGGACAGTGATCTGAACCCATTTGAAGCTCATGAAATACTTGGGCGCATAGCAAAAGAGTTATCCATTCTACATTCGCAATAGCCCTATCTAATCTTTCTCTTACATTATCAACCCCTTTCTGATTATTCGATCGAGTAAAAGGGCACAGTCAAATAAAAGTTCTAGGAAAAATTGAAGTTGGTTCATTCGACATTCTGCTCCCCCTTCTTTCTCTCCAATCAGACCAATCTCATTAAAGTCACCAATGCACACCCACAGATAACTATTAGAGAGAGCCATCTGTTTAAACTGAACCCACAAATTTCTATGAAGTGACCTTTGTGGAGGAGCATACACAAAGGAAATAGCCCAGGTAGATGAAATACTTGAAATAGAAATAATTGCTCTAATCATGTTCTGTGATTTGTGCCTAACATCCAACTAAAAATCATCCATCCACCATAGAGCTAACCCCTCCGAAAGACCTTCCGGTTCGACATAATATTTATTTGTAAAGTGGAGGCGTCTCTAAATCCTCTTAAGTGTCACTGACTTATTCTTAGTTTCCATTAAAAAGACAACTTTGGGACGATGGGCTGAAAATCATCCATCCACCATCGAGCTCAATATCAACATGATGATTAGGGCTGTTGAGGGCCAGCCACTAAAGCCCAATCACCCATATCACCAGCACTAGCAAGAGGATATGTACTAGGAACCTGTGTACAACACTCATCAACCTCAGTAGAAGAATGAGCCGTCAACTAGGATGGTAGAGAAGACTCTTCTGTGACTACATTGACTTCAAATAATTCACCATGTACCCCTTTCTTTCCTTTACTTTACCTACTCCCCTCTTTCCTCGACCTCTGGCAAAAGAGTAATTATGAGCTCGAATTGATAGTGAAGAATGAGACACAGAGATAGCCCTAGTTGTAGACGTAGCAGTGGCAACCTTAGAGCCTTCAAGTAATTTAGGAAGTATACCCAAGCACTCCTATCTAAACCCCTCTTACGATTCAGGTGCAGAGAAGAGAATACAACAAAGAAGAAAAAAAATATCTTCCAGAAGCTTTACGAAAGGGTTTTCCAAGCATCAAAGAAAAAGGCATTTAAAAAAAAAAAAAAAAAAAGAGAGAGAGGTGGGAAAGCTTGTTCCACTAGTAGCTCAGATCTTCCATTACATCTTCTCTCTCTGGAATTTTGTTGTTAGATTTGGCTGTGCCTATGGGCTGCTAGCAAAACATGTGAATGTGCTTTAATTCCATTTCATCTTTGTCTTTTATACTGTGTTTGCTTGAGGAATTTGGAAAGGAATTTGAAAAAAAAAAAAAAAAAGTACGTGAAATTAAGTGAAATGTAGATTTATTTTATCCATATTTCACCTATTTTTTCCCCTTCATTTTTTAAATTTCTTCTCAAATTTTCCAACCAAACACAACATAAATATTTAAAAGAAATTCTCTTTGGATATTGTCTTAATTGTGCTCTTCTTATTATTTCCTCATCTCAGATTTCAATCTTTAATCACCAAAACTGTGTACCTAATTCTACAAACACTTTTCTCTTTTTTTTTTTGGTCTTTAAAATTATGCATCTAATTATAATTCAAGGTCAAGGTCTCCCCAAAGCATACAAATTAATTCATAGAAAATTTTGAGAAAGTGTCACGCCCCGAAAATAATTCAACATAAACTAACCACATCAACTAATATTTACTAAATGATGACAAAGATTGATCTGTCTTTACATGTTTAATAAATCATGCTTGTACAAAAGTTTTACATGCAAATATACATTCAATGATAAGAAAACACCTGAATCTATAGCATGTGAAGCATCTAGTCTCTAACAATTAAAATGCCCTTAAGGGCTTACATCTTCCCAAGCAATAGCCCGGTTACACAAAATGGTCTCTCGAACCCATACACGTTTAGCCCTTGGCTTACAAAAAAATTTACAACAAAAATAAGAGAGCAGTCTACTCTTCACAAAATAAATCCACGCCCTCAACTCGGCGGGATCACTACATCTTTACCTGCACCAAAGTCCCATAGAGGTGGGCATAAAGCCTAGTAGAGAATTCTTACAAAGTATATACAGTTATGCAAACTCTCAATAAAAAAATGCAATGCCAATGCCATGCCATGCCATGCCATTTTAAAGAAATTTCATTTTTATGCTCTTCTTAAGATCACCATTTTTTGAACAAAAGTTTATAATCTTCACAATTTCAAATCTTCCAATTTTAATCAATAAGGGCGGTAAATACAACTCAGGTAATCCCTAAGTTGGTGTCTGCAGGTAGGCTCAACAAACACTACCATTACCCCACTTTACTGGTTACTAACCAGAAGGGAAGTGGTACCTCCTTCGCGCGTGTTTTCGGTCTTTCACCCCGGACACTCAGGCCAACTTATCAATCTCATCTACACCCTCTATCCGGACTTACCAACGTATTTACCCCATAACACATTTCCATAATTCTTATTACAAAGAAATCTTTTCTTGAAGTAAATGTTTCCAATCCAAATTTACAATGCACAATAAGTAATTTCATACGAATGCAATACAATATTCTTCCATGCCTCATAGCATTTCTTCATTTTTAAGTATCTTGACAACAATGTCAAAACAATAACATTTCACATTTCCTCTTTTCAATGTTATTTCGCAAAATAACCATATGCCATCAGCACACAACAACAATTTCTCATCATGTACAATTCTTAACAAGTCAGTATCTACAAGATTACAGGTAATGTTTTCAAACATTAATCTCCAAAAATTCACAATTTCCACAATCCATGGTACCCACCAATTTGCCACTTCTCAACTATACATATTCATGTATTTAATGATAACGTTAAAATTATGTCTCACTTGCTTATATATCAAGAAGATTGCAATTTAACAAAGCATGTGAATAAATCTATATTCCTTCCTCATTGAACACAAGAAGAAAGAAAATCCATAGGTTTTACTCATATACCCCCAAATCCCCAAATTTCTAGGGTTCTATAACAAAAATAAAGCATTTCCCCATTTCTTGGTGAAACCCTATCCAAAACATCTTTCTTAAATTAGTAAGATGAAACCCTCAAGGATTGACTTAGAAACACTTGAAAGTTTAAACCCTCTTTTGAAAAAAATCTCTACACTCTTGAGCCACAACCCAACTCTCAAAATAAATTCAAGAGAAACATAAAATTAACATTTAATCTTGCAAAACATGTATATTTAACTCAAGAATGTCCCTACCTCAAAGTTTTGATGAAGAAAATTGAAGAAGCCCTAGAAATTCAAGATGCTCCAAACTCAATCTCCACCGTCTATAATGTAGCCCTAGCTTTGATCTTCAAGACTTGAAAGAGAATTTGGATTTAAACCCAAAAAATTGCAAGAAATCAATGGTTTTGGAGGTTTGTAGGAAGTTTCTAGAGATGAGCAAAAATGACTTTTAGAGTGAGAGAGAAAGGTTAAAAAATGATACAATTTCGGCCAAAAAGAGAAATAAAAATAGAGTTTTCGGATCTGCCAGCGTCCCGTATGTGGGGCACGTGCCCCACACGTGCGGCCCTCAACCCCGCACATGCGGCCTTCCCTTACCGCACCTCATTCCGCACCTGTCTTTTGGCAGTGTGCAACCCTCCACAACTCACCCTACCCCGAACGTGTGGCCTCATCCCCCGCACGTGCGGCCCTGGCCCAACTGCCCAGAAAACTCTCAGCTCTATATTAAACACTTCAGGCTCAACCTAGCACCCTCCGGAACCAGTGAAGAATCAACACCGAATGAACAAGAACGTGGAATTATTTGAGTAAGGCTTCCGGACATCACAAACCTGATTGACACAAAAGTGAAGTAACGCTAGGATGAAACCGGTCATCATAGAAAGAGACATTACCTTTACCATATGCATGATTCTATGAATGTCTTTGTAGTGGTGTTACACACATTAATTGATATACCAATTAATATAACATATGTTAGGGAACTGTTAAGATGTGCACTTCAATAAGATGTGCATATTATGTACACATTTATTTTAAATCATTAGATATTTACAAATTAATATCAACCATTAAATAATTTGATTAGAAATCTTTGAGTACCTCTTCAACCGGTTACATTAATATCAACCATTAAATAATTTGATTAGAAATCTTTGAGTACCTCTTCAACCGGTTACGATATTAAATAATTTGATTAGAAATCTTTGAGTTCCTCTTTAACCGGTTACGGTTTTTACAAATTTCATTACCGATTGTTCTGTTTCCAACTAAGCTCTTCACGTTGTTTTCTCAAAAGCCTTTTGTCTTTCAGACACTAACACGACCTTCCCTCGGCTTCGCCTCAAGGTATGTCTCTCTCTCTCGCTCGCTCTCTCTCTCTCTCTGTAACTTTTTTCTCTCCCTTTCTCCGTCTCCATTCTATGAAACCCTAGACCGC